TTAAATTATTTTCAAATTTTTGGTCGAATTTTCCGAAATTATATTTGTCGGAAATTAATATATTTTGACGGTATACTATTTAAAAACCGTCTGCGAATCGCAAAAAATCAAAATTGGCTTTTCGACCAACTTTTTTCCTAAAGGTGTTAGGTCGTCTTATGGATGTTTATTGACCCATCTCCAGTGATCCTGATTTCGCCATGTTGGATTTTTTCGGAACTTAGTTTTTTCTCCGAACTTAAGCCCATGGCACATACAAAAACGTAAGGCCGTAAAACGTCTTACGGCCTTCCGTTTTTCTATGTGTTTCTTGCTTTACGATTACCTTACTAATTACGTCTTATGGCTTTACGTTTTTCTATGTGTTTCTGGCTTTACATTGGATTCGCTACCGGCTTTACGGTCTCTACTGTGATTGACCAATTCGCTTACTGATTACGTCTTAGTCCGGATCCTCATACGGACAACAGCGCTTTGACACCGGACGCTGATTGGTGAAAAACGGGTTATGGGGGTAATTTTACCCTCGCCACCGGTTTTTCACCAATCAGCGTTTGGTGTCAAAGCGCTGTTGCCCGTATGAGGATCCGGGCTTACGGCCTTACGTTTAAAACTATGGGTGTTTACGACAAATGGTCGGATTTCCAATCCGATCGAACAGTGGTACTCAGTTGGTGCATTTCAAAAAACTCCCTAGCTCAATCGGATTTTGGTGCCTGTCTCAGGAGGTAATCGGATTGAGTTGAACGGATCGTGAGAGAGGAACAATTTTGCGAATTTGCGTATAAACTTAATAAAAGCAGAGTGCATAAAGACAAAGAGATACATACGTTAACTACTATTGTAATAATTATTGTGTATTTTATTCTAAAATGTATATCAATAATGGAAATATGTATAGTATAGTAAAAGAATTCTGGAAAAGTAAATATATCACATTATTTTATTATCACATTATTTTATTAATATAACGTTAATTTTGTGTCCTTATTAGTACCACAGGGATATATCACAAACGATCTTCCAATCGCTTGATGAGCTAAATTGTTCTCTCTTTGGAAATACTCAACGTTTTAGAACATAACAATCCATCATAGTATTTTTCTTGTTTTTTCTGCGTTAACTAAAGATGTTTTATTGCGTTAATTAATATTTATATGTATGTACATCTGAGGATGGCTCGAATATGCAGCCGAAACGTTATGATTTGACTTTTGTTTGCGTGCGCTTTTAAAGTGTAAATTTTAGTTTAATGTTATTTTATTTTAATTTATAATATATTAAATGTTTTATTAGTTCACACAAATAATATTGACTCTTAATTGCCTTTTTATTTCATTGACAATTTATAAATATATAACCACAGTATATTGCGACCGGTTCCGCGGAGCGGGCCCGGCGCAACTCGAGCTGTAAAGGTCGCAGCGGCGACATGCAGCATAATGGATAGGAGTATATAAAAATTAGGCTTAAGGTTAGAATAAGTAAAAATAGTGTAAGAAAAGAAAGTTAAGTTTTTTTTTTTTTCTAGAGTGAGGGATAAACGAGCTCACAGTTTTTTTTTTGTGTTCTTTCTTGTCTTTCTTAAGTAATTTTGTTTTGAACGCGCGAAGCGTGCACGGTCGTATAGGACAGAAGGTCAAAGGAGAAAATTCGTTTATTTACATAGAACAGGCCGAATGCCCGAAAGAAAGTTTAGTTTTGTGATAACCTACGTTTTGCAAAATCGCAAAATGTAAGATGGTTAAATGTTCATAGATAGCGCGGGAAGCGCGTTGTTAAAATCTCTTTTGTATTACTTCACAATTGTGGAAGCCCCACAATTGTTAATTTAAAGATTATAGTTTAGGAAAAAGTAGCTCGGGTAATTGATTGAGAGTAACGCGGAAAGTGCGGGCGCAAAGTTTCAAATGGATTCATTAAGAATTGCGCAAGCCCCGCAATGAATAATTCGCTAGATTGATTGAAAGCGGAGAAAGCATAGCGGTTGATCATAACTAAGCAACGTAAGAAATACGCAGGCCAAATGTAAGATGGACTCATTCAAAACCATGACAATATTTCAATTGTTAGTTTATTGCTTTATGAAATAAGAAAATATACCGTGGTCAAAGTAACATGGGTAACGTAATATGTA